GGAGGGAGGGAGGGAGGGAGGGAAGGAAGGAAGGAAGGAAGGAAGGAGGCAGAGAAGGAAGCAGGCAGGGAGAAATGTGCAGAGTGAATTTGCTGCAGGTAGGTCTCCGGCTGCTTGGTGCAGAGCCAGGCTCACCCAGGATAAGGACCCTGCCAGGCCTGTGGCTCGTGCCTCCTCCCCTCCTGCTGCCATCCTGCAATGGGCACAGACAGGATGCCAGCTTCTCTTCTGCAAACCCCTCTCCAGCCTCTGCTTCAGCCTGGCTGTGCAGGGTGGGGACTGTGGGTACTGGGAAGCCGGGTGCCCAGAGGAATCCCAGAAGCTGTGCCATCATCAGCATCCACCTGGCCAAAGCCCGCTGGTGACCCCAATTCAAAGGCAGGCCAGGCCCGCTGTCCTGCCCTGGATCCAGGCTGCTCTGCCCCACCGCCTGCCCACACCCCCACTCGCAGGCCTAGGTTGGAGAGGCAGCGTGTTTGGGACCCTCACTCTCCTTCCTGAATCTTCTGAGTTGACTAAAAGCAAAACAGGAGTGGGTTTCTCTGTCTGCGGGGGGTGGGGAGCACCCTATCCAGACTCAGGGTTCACCAGATGGACATGACTTGTTACCTAGGCCTGTCACGGGGCTCTGCACTTGGCCTTCGAACGTGGGCCTCCAGGCCTCTCTGGGGCTGCAGATCTGACCTGGACAGCCTTGGCCAGTGTCTCTGACTCGGGGTAAAATGGGTCTTCCCCTCCTGGAGGAGATGCTGCCCCCTGGTGGTGCATCTACTCTGGGAGGGAAAATACTCCCAGCTGGCCTGATGCCCAGGCACAGGCTTCTCCTAAACACAGGTCTCCCCACCTGTCAGGATGTCCAAACGGAGTTGGTGGGCTGGCTCCAGACAGCCCCCAAGAGAGACGCTGAAACTCTCAGGCGGGTAAAAAGAGCAGACCTCTGACCTCCCAGGGCACAGTCCTTGCTGCCATCCTGGGGCATGCTCCTGTGAGTCAGGTGCCAGGGAAGCCATGGTCAGAGGCCAGCAGGGGAAGCAGAAAGCAGAGACACCCCGGCCAGTGCACCTGTGGGCAGGCGCGTCAGGGAGGGTCCAGGCACTCAGGATGCGCAGAACTCACCGGCCAAGGCTGGGGCTGAGGAGGAGCTAGAATCGCAGAGACACACTCCCCCCACCCCTCACCACCCCTGTCACTCAGACATCACACTTCCGGGGCAGAACAGAAAACCCAGAGCCTCACCCAGGCAGGGCTCACATCCCATTCCCCGTCCTGGTGCTGACCCCGTCCGGGTGGCAGGGGTGCAGCTGCATAGCGGCAAAATTCCAAGCCCTGGTTCTGCGTTTGCCTTGTGCTGAAGTTCAGCATGCCTCTGACGCTCACGCACCCCAAATGGACAAGGAGGTCCCCTCATCTCCCCGTGGGCAGTGCTGAGCTTGGAAGTGGGAGGTTCTGAAGGCATCGAAGGCCTGACTTCTGGACTTCGGAGAGCGTGAAGCTGCCCGGGTCGCAAGCTCATTGTGAACTGTTCGCTTGTTCCCTCCAGGCTCATACCCGGGCTCTGACTCCAGCCAAAGCATGAATGGCCTTGAAGTGGCCCCCTCAGGTCTGATCACCAACTTCTCCCTGGCCACGGCAGAGCAATGTGGCCAGGAGACGCCACTGGAGAACATGCTGTTCGCCTCCTTCTACCTCCTGGATTTTATCCTGGCTTTCGTTGGCAATACCCTGGCTCTGTGGCTTTTCATCCGAGACCACAAGTCCGGGACCCCGGCCAACGTGTTCCTGATGCATCTGGCCGTGGCCGACTTGTCGTGCGTACTGGTCCTGCCCACCCGCCTGGTCTACCACTTCTCTGGGAACCACTGGCCGTTTGGAGAAATCGCGTGCCGTCTCACCGGCTTCCTCTTCTACCTCAACATGTACGCCAGCATCTACTTCCTCACCTGCATCAGCGCCGACCGCTTCCTGGCCATCGTGCACCCGGTCAAGTCCCTCAAGCTCCGCAGGCCCCTCTACGCACACCTGGCCTGTGCCTTCCTGTGGGTGGTGGTGGCCGTGGCCATGGCCCCGCTGCTGGTGAACCAGCAGACCGTGCAGACCAACCACACGGTGGTGTGTCTGCAGCTGTACCGGGAGAAGGCCTCCCACCACGCCCTGGTGTCCCTGGCCGTGGCCTTCACCTTCCCGTTCGTCACCACGGTCACCTGCTACCTGCTGATCATCCGCAGCCTGCGGCAGGGCCTGCGTGTGGAGAAGCGCCTCAAGAGCAAGGCGGTGCGCATGATCGCCATCGTGCTGGCCATCTTCCTGGTCTGCTTCGTGCCCTACCACGTCAACCGCTCCGTCTATGTGCTGCACTACCGCAGCGGTGGGACCTCCTGTGCCACCCAGCGCGTCCTGGCCCTGGGAAACCGCATCACCTCCTGCCTCACCAGCCTCAACGGGGCGCTCGACCCCATCATGTATTTCTTTGTGGCTGAGAAGTTCCGCCATGCCCTGTGCAACTTGCTCTGTGGCAAAAGGCTCAAGGGCCCGCCCCCCAGCTTCGAAGGTAAAACTAACGAAAGCTCGCTGAGTGCCAAGTCAGAGTTGTGAGCGGGGGGCGCCGTCCAGGCTGAGCGCAGACTGTTTAGGACTCAGCAGACTCAGCAAGAGGCATCTGCCGTTTCCCCAGCCACCTCCCCAACAGGCAACCTGAAATCTCAGCAGATGCCCACCGTTTCTCTAGACCGCCTCGTCTCAACCCCTGAAAAGGGAGAACTGACGAAGGGGATCCATCGGCCACCCCTCTGCAGGGGCTTGTGATGCTTACAAAGGCTCCTAGACACTCAACGACTTCATCCATGGCAGGGAGAGAAGAGGCCGGAAGAACAACCCCTGAACAATGGATGCCTTTCTTTCCCACTAGGCTCCCAGCCTCCTTCCTGCTACAGAATCGCTCAGCAACCAGGCTCTGCAGAAAGACCCGAAAGGCAGGCTGCAAATGACCCAGAAGAGGGACCTGGGAGTCCTGGCGGGGGCGGGGAGGGAGTCTCAATATTCCTTTGCAGTGCAAGGTACCCTGAGTCCCCTCTGTGGTGGCTCTGCCAGACACACACTGCCTGAGTTGAAGGGACACAGGCCATACATTTCAGGCTGGTTGCCAGGGGACCTCAGCACTCACGGCCTGCAGGGACTGAGCACAGCTCTGGATTCTGGATCTCTCCTGCTGTAACCCCACGCACAGGCCTGCAACCCCCAGAGCTCTTTGGCAGGCTCCCAGTCCTGGACAAGCATGTCCTGTGTAGTCATGGGAGCTCAGGTCAGGCCAGGGCTGCGCTGCGCACCTGCCTCCCACTGACCCAGACCCCCTTCCTCCAGAGAGGCCTCTCTCTGCCTGAGCTATTTCCCTTGCTCGCGTGCAGGTATTTCCCTAACATGTCCTTTGTATTTGTACAGACCATAAACACAACTGTAGCTTTAAGACTACACAGGTTATTGTGTTTGGTCAACATGAAGCGTTTCCCAGAACTTCTCTCTTTGACCCAGGAATGGCGAAGTAGTGGCACAGCGGCAGAGGCAGCCTCGTGGGCTCTTGCTGGGGCTCTGGCAGCTCACAGCACATCTGCCCAGATTCTGAGGTTTGCACTGTGGGGCTGGGAGGGCCAAGCAGGGGCCCTCATTCCTCACCCTAGCTGCCGCCCTGCCCCGTCCTTACAGCAATATGCTTCTGTAGCAGGTCTGACTTTCCAAAACACTTCCAGCATCTTTCAGATTTCCCCAACCAGCCCTTGGGGCAGTGGCCCTGTGCAAAGCTTGCCCCAGGAAGGAGACTGGGCTCACTCCACACACCGTCGGCGACATTGCTGGTCAGCATAAGCCCCTGGTGCTGTCCCTCGGCCCCTGCACTGCACCGTCTGCCCCCTCAGCCCTTCATTTAGACAACCTGCTCAATGCCAGGCACCGCCCAGCTCCGAGGACAGTGGGCTGGACACCAGGCACCAGGCCATGTGCCTCCCTCATGGGCAGCTCATGGACAAGAGCTTGGTAGTGTTGAGGAAGCATCTCGGAGGAGCTGCGGGAGGGAGCAGAGTGCCCGGACAGAGGGGGTGTGGCGGGGAGGCATGGCTGGGGCCTCTGGAGGGCGGCACTGCCTCTCACTGACACGGGGCACATGCAGAGGCAGCCTTGGTGGTTGGTGGAGGAGAATCCCAAACTGCTTGTGTCCCATTGCGTTTGGGATGCCTAGTGGACACCAAGTGAAGGTGGCATGTGGGCAGCTGAAGACAGCGAGAGAGAGGCCCGAAGTGGAGCCCAGAATTGTCCAGACACACGTGCTATTTAGGGCTCTAGGATTCTGTCTGCAAGGGCAGCCATGAGGGCCGGGCACGGAGTCCCAGACGACCCCCATGGAGAGACCGGGAGGAAGGTGGCTCAGAGGAGGGAGTGAGCAGGTGCCGCTGTGGGGCGGGGGGAGCAGAACCACAGGAACTCAGGGTCCTGGGTGCCAGAAGGGGGGCATTTCTGCACCTCAGCAGCTGTGGTGAGAGCTGCTGAGGGGTCAAGAGGAGGTGTGGGTCCCTGGGCAGATGAGGCCAGGGTAGCACACACGAGGGGAGGCAGGTGTGCTGGGAGAGGCCGGGGGCAGATGAGGCCAGGGTAGCACACACAAGGGGAGACAGGTGTGCTGGGAGAGGCTGGGGAGGAAGGCCAGCCAGTATTTTTAACCCAGCTCCCCAGCCTGGTCCTTCAGAAAGGACAAGAGAGTGGCGTGGAGAAGGGAGCTCTGGAGAAACTGTGGGAACGAACAGGGCTCAGACAGTGGCAGGGCTGCATGGGATCCCAGAGCTAGGGCCAGGGGAGGTGAGAGACAAGGCTGCCTGCTATAGGGACAGTGCTCGGGGAGGGGGAACGAGAGACAAAGGCTTCACAGGAGGTGGGAACTTCTGGAGTACCCATGAGGTCTGTGGCCCTGAATTTAAGAGTAAATGTGGGCATTTCCCTCCGGCCACAGTGAGCTGCAGAGGTACAGGCAGGGGAAGGTGGACAGGTGGGGTCAGCAGGTGGGATGGCCGGCGGGGTGGGGGACTGTGGGGATTTCTCATGGCTCCCGAGAGGCTGCCAGGAGCATGCCGAGCATGGGGCCCCGCAAACTGGGAGCTGGACCATCTGCCCCGAGGTGAACCGGAGGGAGGGCAGCCACGTCAGTGCAGGCTGCGGCACTGGGACCCTGCTGGGCCCTCAGCAAGTGGGTAGCACACGGGAGGGGTGGGCAGGTGTGCTGGGCAGGGCTGTGGCCCAGTCCTCTCTGGCCCGATGTGGCCACCTCACCTGCCGGCATTCTTCACGAAGCCCAGGTCAGCCAGCTCCACATCGCACAGCTCGCAGCGGAAGCAGCCCGGGTGCCAGTTGTTGTTCATGGCCTTGATGACGCGGCCAATGATGAACTCGCCTGGAAAAAGACAGGTCCCTGCTGGCCAGGGGGCGCGTGCCCATCCCCTCTTCGGACCCTCCAAAGCCCCGTCCACCTAACACTCCACCTGCTCTCTGCCTGGCCCGTGGGCTCCCTCGTGAGATGGTGGTGCCTATAGGGGGCCTGAGGGCTGCCGCTCAGAGAGGCAAGGTGGGCATTTAGGGAAGAGCTAGGCCAGTTCTGTGTGCCCCTTTGGGCCCCCGCCCCCCCACCCCGCCTGCTGCCCACTTCCCAGGCAGCCCAGGATGTGCACTGTCACCAGCCTTACCGCAGGATCCGCAGCACGGAGCAAACAGCATTTGGAAGTCGTGTTCACAGTACTTCCGGCCTTCAAACTGCAAAGGGGTCGCAGAGAGAGGACAAGCACTATCATCCCCACCAGCCGCCCAGGCCCTTGTCGGGTCAGGACCTGACAGCAGGGGATGAGGCACTGAGACAGGCACATGTCGGGTTGAGGCTGGAGCAGCAGGTCCTAGGCCTGGCCAGCAGAGGACATTGGCCCTTTTGGGATGGTGGGGTGCAAAGGAAGGGGCCCCTGTGGAAGCTGGAAAGGTCGGCAAGGCCACCTGTCAAAGGGCCGCTGGTGTCTACTGAGGATCTGGACCCTGTGGGTCCGGAGAACAGGCTGGGGGCGAGGCGGTTTTATGCCAGGAGGGATGAGATCCAGTTTGAAGTGTAGTGCCACTTGGCCCTATTTCCTATACCTTCTTTGTGGGAGTAGTCCAGCTTCCCCAGAGGCCACGAAGACCCAGGGACAGGAGACAGAAGGAAGGGAAGGCAGGAAGGATCTGGGCACGGGGGAGTGGGGAGAGGTCAGGGCTGCGGCCAGCAGGAGCCGGCGTGCACACCCTCCAGGCGGCAGCTGCCAGCGACGGCCCCTGTGCTGGCCACAAGTGGGGCCAAAGCCTGCCTCTGCTTTCCTCTCTTTTGACAATTGTATTTTCTATTTTCTAATTTGGTTTTTCCCTGTTCTCTAAAATGAGTGTCTTACGAGACTGAACTGGATATAGCCCTACCCAGGGACCTGTAGAGGCAGGAAGGGCTTAAACTCTTTCAGCAACGAAAACCATCTGGGCACCTACTGTGTGACAGGCTTTGTTCTGGGCACATGGCCACCCTCCCAGAGTTTTGCCCACCCCCCTGCTGCCTCTACACTTAGCCAGCATTTCTCAGGAGGCTGAAGGCACCATGAGGAACAAACAGCAGCTCCTGCTCTGCCAGGCGGACCACACGCCCCACATCCATCCACCAGCCACTCCCATCAGCTCTACCTCGAAACAGAGCCAGCATCTGAACCCTGGCCACCACCGCCACCACAACCACCAGTGGCGTGCTGGTAAATGTTGAACAGCCAGCTCTCTGGGGCACAGAGGCAGGCCCTGCTGTGGGGCGTTTGCCAATGTCCACGGTGTGAATATTCCCGTCATGGCCAACTTCCGGTTGCCGACAGGACATCGATGTGGACTTGAGCGGGGGTGTGCATGGCCACACCAGCACAATGAACGGAAATAACCCCGGCAGCATAGACAATGGTAAAGTGGAACAAAATAATTAGCAAGTGGTACGCTTTGAGTATTTGTTACCTCTGTTTTTAATAAAGTTGTATCCCATTGTATGTTTATGTAATTTAATTTTTAAACAAAAACTTTGTTGCATAACCAGTTTGCAAGACTGTTGATGATTTAACAACTGCTCTCATGAGCTGGTGAAGGCCCCTTCACTTTCATCTGGGTGACTGTACTAATTCAGCTCCTGGTCCCGCCAGCTTCCCAGCTCAGCCTCTGTTCCGGTCCCACCTTACACACTCTCCTCAATGGCCAGAAGCCTCCTTTTTTTTTTCTTTTTTTTTTTTTTTAGATGGAGTCTTGCTCTGTCCCCCAG